CGCGATTGGCGGCACTTCGGCGGCAGCTCTACCGCGCCGTTTTCTTCTTCGGCGGCACTTCGGCGGCAGCTCTACCGCGCCGCTTTCTTCTTCGGCGGCACTTTGGCGGCAGGTCCTTCCCTCCGAGAGGGACCGAGGGACCTGCCGCCAAAGACCCCGACGTGCCGCCCCTTCCCCTTGGCCGCCCCAAGCGCCTGCTTGCTGCGCTGGTGCCTGGAGCCGGCCCTGGGATGGGAGACAGGCGAGTTATTGGCCCAGGACAGCAGCATTCCTAGTCAGGCAGGAAGGCTAAGGGAATGAATGGGTCATGGAAAGAACTCCCGGCTGAGTTCTGGAGCTCCGGGTGAAAGCTGTGTTGGGTGGGGGATGCTTGCCCAGACACTGCCTCTGTTGCATCTCCTCCGTGGGCTGGCGCCTTTCACCCACACTAAGTTCACACAAAAGAGGGCAAAGCAGCCCCTTTTGGGCTCACTAGTCCCTGGGCAAAGTCCTGCCACCGGAGTTAGCATCCTCGCCTGGGACAGCTACTGCTCATCTCTTGATTAGTTCTGTCTGGCATGTCCCCTGGGAGCTTGCAGCCAAATCCACAGGAGGGTGATTTCCCTGGCCCATGCCAGCTCTGCCGGGGTTTATCCCCACTGGGAAATTCCCCAGTATTTGCCGCTGATTCCCAGGCCTTCCCCCCGCCCCGGGGAGCTGCACTACCTGCACGGCGTGCTGCTTGAAGAAGCGAAGGGCATGTGCAAACACCTCCAGCGCCTGGACCTTCTTCCCATTCACGGCTTCTAATTCGGTTTTCATGGTGAGGTCCTAGCAAACAAGACAAACAGCCGGAGATGGTCAAGGCCTGAGCCCCGGCCTGCCCCTAGGAGCATGCCCGGCACAGAGCAGGTAGGAGGGAGCTGGTTTCTCTGGTGGAGGGTGTGACAGATGTGGAAATTTCCTGCAATGTCCTTGAAAAACATTATTGAACGAAGTGAAGTCTCCTTGGAGGCCATTGCAAAGGTTCTGTGTTACTGGGGCCCAGGCGAGCAAAGGCCTGTACTGAACCATGTGGCAGCCATGAACGGTCTTTTGGGACAATGTATGTGAAGAGCATTTCCTGGGAAACATCGGGGGCAGGGTGTGAATGGAAATTCCTCCCTGCCCCTGTTATGCAAACCCCAGCCTTTTGAAGCTGAGGAAGGGACCAATGTTTACGGATTACTGTTCCCTGACTCTGAAGCTCAATGGCCCAGGCTGGATAAAGGAAAGACTCCCCTACGCACGGGGGTGCTTGTTGTGGGCTGAGGTTGTTATGAACTTGTGCCCACAGAAAAACCCCTTGGTGGGGTGTGAAGGGCTGACTCCTGCTGGAGGGCTTGCTGGAGCTGGGGTGATCACTGGGAAGCTTATTAGCATGTGCATCGGGTCTTTTAAGGTGTTTCGGATGGTTTCTCTGTGATGCTTTTACCATCAGAATAAATGTGCTTGCGCAGAAAGAGCTGGGTGGTAACGTCTCGCTGTGGGCAATGACGCTGTCTGTAGCCTCTGGAGAGATAGCAAAGCGTGGGCGCTGGCCTGGTTGGGCTTGCTGAGAATAGCACAGTGGAGGCAGAGAACTCGGCAGCCTGGAAATACCCCAGGCAGGAGGGAGAGAGATGCAGGTCTCCGCCCAAGAGAGGTGATGGCTGGGGGGCCAGCTGCCTTATCGAGGCAACAGAGGGGAAATGCAGGTGCAGTTGCCCTGAACTGTGACAGAGGGACTGTGCCAAATCCAGCACCTGGAGCACTGACAAGGAGCTGGGTATTGGGATCCCATGAGCTGCTGCTAGAGGTTCTCATCCTCGGTGGGGGGGGGGGGCAGTCACTTAGGTCTCCCAATTGACCTCAGCAAGAGCACGAGCCCAGTGTTTGGCCACGTGGCTAACTTCTCCATCTGCTCGTAGCTAGAGCAAGTGGAACGGCGAGCCCGCCCAATCAGCAGAGAGGAAACCAAACGCCCATTACCTGGAAGGTGCCGAGGTGCCCAACCCACTGGTGCGTCCCCTGCAAGGATGAGGGGGAAGAGCTACACGGAATTACCACCCCGTGTGGCGGTGAGGCGGGGCGAAAGGCTGGGGAGTGCAGGCAGGAATGAGGAGGGATGGAGCTCTACCCATAGGAGGTGCTACAGGAGTTGGTGCAAAAAGATTCCATGAGGCCACATCGCTGCACTCAGAAGTGTGTGAATTCGGCATCATGGGGAATAGCAGGTTGAGATCTGCCCTCCCCTGCTCAGTGATAAATCTACAGTTGTGGGGGCTAGAACCTAGCTCCTCCTGCTCCAAAACCCACAGGGCCCTAGTATGCAAGCTAAAGGGGGATCCGAGAGCGACAGAGGGTCTATGACATAGACTTGATCAGTTCTGTTCCCACCCAGCAGAGGGCAGTGGGGCACATACTCCTGTCAACAGCCCCCACTGGAATCACTCAACATTTGTTCAGCTATAAAAGTTGGACCAAAAAAAAATCATGAAATTTTGCTGAACTTTCCACTTCCCCATAATTAATTATTATTATTATTATTATTATTATTATACAAAGTGGAGAGCTGGGTGAATTTGTTACTGAATTTTGACATGTTGAATTTTAATGAGAAAGAAAAAAAACAGCCAAAAGAGAATTTTGAAACACTCCCTCTTCCCGCCCCCTTGTTTTTCAACCAGCGTTAGCCCTGAGGGTTAGTTAACTCACCCTTCCCTTCCCCTTGCATCATGAACTGGTTACTGAATTTGCTAAACAACTCTGCAAATTCACAGCCCCCCAAACGACAGCATATTTGTGAAATTTAATTTTTAAAAAATCAGTGAAATTTCACACTGGGAAAAAAGTAAAAATCTTGACAATATGACTGCAGTACATACATTGTTACTTTAATACTGGAATGTTTTTTAAAGTGAAAGTGAGTTATCCCACCCCACCCCATCCCATCTCATCTGCCCTTCCCCTGTGTTCAGGGTGACTGGGACAGAAAGGGTTAACTTACACTGGTGCTGTGAATCTTCATCTTAAACTTCTCAAAGTAGAGCCAATCCCGGGCTTCCTCCGGATCGAGATCGTGGTAATAATCCCTTGCTGTGTATCCAAAACTGTGAAAGGCGCCCTCTGGAGTCAGCAAGAGGCTGGTGGGGGTTTTCTGATTGGCCACTCCAGGATCACCCCCCTCCCATTTCCTGCAATGAGGAACGAGATCAGATTTAATGTCCCGCCTCTTAAAGGTAACAGGCACCATTTATAATAACTAAGACTTCCTCTGAACTCCTGGTGAGAGTGGCTAGAAAACCCAGCCAGAGGCTCCAGGAGGGACTGGTTGGTAATAGGGTACAGAGCCTCTCTATTATTATTATTTATTTATATTACCATTGTATTGCTAGGCTCGGACCAGCATCCCACTGCGCTAGGGGCTGTACAAATACAGAACAAAAAGACAATCCCTGCCAGAGACAACTGCTACCTGCTGATAGTTGGGGGTGGGGGGACGACACAATTTAAAGATTCACCTCCCCTGAACAGCTTGAGTCATGCCCCCCCCCCAGTAACCCCCACCCCCTGCCCTCAGTGGCCTCTTCCTGCAGCTCCCAGCTGTTTGCTGTTTCCTCTTCCCATGGCTGCGGCTTGCACCTCACCAGCTCCAGGAGCTGCTGCACAGCCTGGCTGGAAAACCCTGGCAGAAATGGGGGGGGGGGCACGTGACCCTGTGTGTCACCTCCACACGTGGCCTCTAGTCCCTGCCCCAAAGAGCTTACGGTCTCTATATATATGAGAAGCGACAATGGGGGGAGTATGAGGAAACTATGGGACAACATTGGTCAGCTTAACCGTTTTGTAGGCCTCAAGGCAAAGGAGAGTTTGGAGCAGGGATTCGAGGTAGCTTTGTGGAAGTTTACGGGGAGCTCCTCCCAAGCCTGAGGGGCTGCCAGAGCGAACGCACAAAGGGGCTTGTTTAAGAATTTAACAAATAGGTGATGGCGGCTGGCACCATGGGCCGGTCAGAGGCAAGCCTTGATAGTGAAGGAGAGACGATGGGTGGGGGTAGGTCATAGGGCCCCGAAAGTGACGACAAGGAGCGGATGTCTGATATAATAGAGAACAGGAAGTGGTTCAAATCTGGCCCAGGTTGGAAGATGGCCAAAAGCCAGGGCTGCCTGACAGCTGTTCAGTGGCCTGGGTCTCAAATCAGTCAGAGATCCCTCCTTGGGGTTTTGTCGGGACAGGTGCCCCCAGCACAAATCTGGCACTAATTGGCCACCTCACTGGTAGTCTCAGCAGAACAGGCCAAAGACGGAATGAGCTGGACATGTTAGGACAGGGCAGCATGGGAGAGTCTTGCCTTATCACTACCCGTCCTGGGGCTAAAGAGAGGACTTTGAGATTATCACCTAGCCTCATCCACCAACATTATTTTGCCTATCTACATAAGAACAGCCAGACTGGGTCAGACCAAAGCTCCATCCAGCCCAGTCTCCTGTCTACCGACAGTGGCCAATGCCAGGTGCCCCAGAGGGAGTGAACCTAACAGGCAATGATCAAGTGATCTCTCTCCTGCCATCCACCTCCACCCTCTGACAGACAGAGGCTAGGGACACCATTCCTTACCCGTCCTGGCTAATAGCCATTAATGGACTTCACCTCCATGAATTTATCCAGTTCTCTTTCAAACCCTGTTATAGTCCTAGCCTTCACAACCTCCTCAGGCAAGGAGTTCCACAGACTGACTGGGCACTGTGTGAAGAAGAACTTCCTTTTATTTGTTTTAAACCTGCTGCCTATTCATTTCATTTGGTGGCCCCTAGTTCACAAAAGCCGCCGCCTGGCCAAGACGGGGTCCTCACCCAGCCAGGACCAGGATTAGAACCCAGGCTCCTTTGCTCAAATCACTAGACTCTACTTAAAGGGCCCACGCTAGCTCTTTTCGATTGCTAGGCTCAATAATTGTGAGCAAAGTGCTCTGTCGTTTGGGATGCCCCTGAGCCAGCCAGAACTCTACTGATTTGAAAAAGCTCCTTAGTAATTAACCAGTGGGGTCCAGCTGGCGGCCAGAGGGAAGAAGGTGGCAGGGTGGGAGATGGCTGGGTTGCGAGGGGAGGTGCTGGGTGAACTATCAGCCAGCTGGAGGGGGAAATGAGCGGTAACCCCACGCTGCGAGGTCAGCCCTCAATGAATGGAATCTCGGCCGCCACAACAGCCCGGCCCCCTCCCTGTCTGGAGCTAACTGGGCTGCGAGCCGTCGACAGGAAGGATTAGGGGCAGGGATAGGAGTCTTACAACGCACCAGTCAGTTTATTTATTACTTGCTAGTCCCTGGGGCACCAGCCCGGCGCTCCGGCCAAGCGTCTGTGTTCCCACCCGCGCAGAGTGCTGGAGGGAGACTTCTCCTGTCCCAGCCCCCTCCTCCAGCCTCTGCCACACTGACTGCCCCTCCTTTAGCCTCTTCCGCCCCGTCCGCGCGCCATCTCCTGCCCCCCCAACCCCCGTTACAACCTCTCTGGGTACATCTACGCCACGATCAAAACCCTGTGGCACCCGGTCTTGGCGCCTGGGTCGTAATGTAGACGTCCCCTCTGGCTCCTTTCCCTCAGCCTTCCAGCACCCAACTGACTCCCTGCCCTGGTTCTGCATCCACCGTACCCCTCTTCCCCTCCTCCGCGCCCCCGGAGCCTGCTGCCTCTGCTTCCTCGCCTCCAAATCCTCTGGCTTCCACTCACTCCACCCAGCTCGTCCTCACTAATGGCCCAGCCCGAGGGCCTCGTCTGTCTGGCCACCGCCTTCAGCTCCCTCCACCACGCCCGTCTCCGGGACTCCCTCCCCTCAGGGTTTTGTGGTGGAGTCACAGTGGCTCCTGTCCTGCCTCCGAGACAGCTCCCTCAGCAGCTCCCGCTCTTCCACTCCCGCTCTCCGTGGGTGTCCCTCAGGGCCGCCCTCCCCAGCCAAGCTCATCTGCTCTCTGGCTTCAATTAACAATGCTAATAAGCCATGGAAAAGTCCCCCTAAACAAGGAGCCAACGCTTCTGGCTCCCGGTGGTCCTGTCCTCTGCCACGGATGGCCCCATGGTCCCAGGTGAATCTATCTGGCCAACCTGGAAGCCTGGCCCATTGTCGAAGAGTGCCCCCCTGTGCATACCTGGAGATTGGCTGCCCTCAAACCACGGGCCTAACCTGATCTGTCAAAGTAGTCGATGTTTGGGAATAGGCACCTCTGGTAAGACACGGAAAAGTCCCCTATTTGTCCACCCCGGTTCCTACTGCACAACTGAAAGGACCTCACCCACCATCTGCCTCTCTGGGGGTCAGGGGCTTCTGCTGCTGCTGTCAAGACTTCTTGGATCGTTTAAAGCAAGAGGCCCTAATTGCTTAGAAACCTGAGCTAGGATCTAGCTCCCGAAGGATGGATGGTCTTGTGGTTGAAGCACTGTACGGTGACTCAAGAGATCTGGGACCCAGTTCTGTCACAGACCCTCTCCGTGAACTTGGACAAGTCACTTAATCTCCCTGCGCCTCAGTTTTCCCCATCTAGTCAACCCTGTGGTGTAAGGGCCATGCAAGTGGATAGATAAGGTGGTGTCTCTGTGTAGCAGCGTTGTCTTGGCCAGAGTCCTGTTGATTGCTTTTGGCAACTAGCTGAAGGAGGTATTGATAAATACATGGGCAGAGGACATCTGGGGATGGCTGGCTAGGGGAGTACAAGAAAAAAATATATGGAGATATACCTATATCTCCTAGAGCTGGAAGGGACCCCAAAAGGTCACAGAGTCCAGCCCCCTGCCTTCACTAGCAGGGCCAAGTACTGATTTTGCCCTAGATTCCTAAGTGGCCCCCTCAAGGATTGAACTCACAACCCTGGGTTTAGCAGGCCAGTGTTCAAACCACTGAGCTATCCCTCCCCCTGATTGCTTGAGAGAGGGACGACTCAGTGATAGGGAGAAGGGGAAACCATCCAACAGGACAAAATTAACAGAGCAATCTTATTCCCCAGCTGCTTTGGCGACCCCGCTAAAGCCAGTGGATGCAGAGAAAGGCCGGACGTCCGCCCACTGTAGCCCCCAAGCCATCCTCCCGCAGAGCGATGTTACCTCATCATGTGAATGGCCTCGGGGTCGTTGGAGAAGCTGAAGGCATAGCCGCTGGAGGTCGTGCCAAAGTCAATGGCCACCACCACGGAGAAGGAAGTGGGTCGCTGCGCCCGGGCATCGTTCCTCTGAAACACCACAAGGGTCATTAGGAGCAGCCAGAGCGGATCAGCACAGGGTCCATCGAATCCCAGCTCTTGTCGCGAGCACTGGCCAGTGCCAGCTGCTTCAGAGGAAAGTGCAAGAAATCCCACAGTACGTAGTTACGGGGTAACCGGCCCATGGGGAAAGTTTCCTACTGAGTCCCAATAGTTCCAGGTTGGTTTATGCCCTGAACTATGGGGGTTTATATCCTGTCAAAACCCTTGGGGTTGTCACTCCTCACAAATGTAGCTCTGGATGTTTTCATTAGCCATATACAAATGTCCAACCCCCGCCCCCCTTTTAAAAAAAATCTAACTAAGAGCTGGGTTTCACTAGGATCTTGTGGCAATGAGTTCCACAGGCTAACTGTGGAAGGTAAACAGAGGATTGTGGATAGGGCTGGAGAAAGAGGAACTGTCTACACTCCCTAACTCTCTGCTGACTAGAGGGTCTGTCATGTTTATTATCAGAGAAGGGCTTGAACCAAACCCCCATAAAACTGAACCCTCCCAAACGCTGGAAGAGTTTGGACCCAGATGTGAACGTTGTTGGTCAGACTCATCTTCAGTGACCTCAGATACATAAAGACGCCTCTCCCCTGCGGGACGCCCTACCGCAACTGAGCCTTTCTCCCGTTGAATAACGGAAGATATTGTTGATGTCATTATGTGGCTATAGAAGCTTCATAAACAATTAGGATTTGCCTGACTGGTGCACCCCAGCAAACCATCTTGTACAGTATTCTGTCTCCAACAAGAGCCAATGTCAGGTGCTTCAGGGGAAGGTATAAGACCCCCCCCCAATGTAGGCAACTGCCAGATGGTCCCATGCTGGAAAAGTTCCTTCCTGATGCCAGCTAATGACCACTTTATGCCCTGAGGATGAGGATCGGTAGCCCTTGTATCAGGTGTCTGATCTCCTGTCAAAGCAGTCAGTGTTTGCTGATAGGCACCTATGGGGAGATACTGAAAGGGCCTTTCGTCCACGCCTCACCCTGCCCCACACCTCCAGGATCTTTGCCAGGCTCAGGAGATTTCACTGCTGCTGAAGTGACCTCCCGCCCATTCTCTGACACTGGGCCACTTCTTGGCTGGCCACTTCCTCAGAGAACTGGCCCACAGTGTGCAGTGGGGCCGACCAGACCATGCCCTACCGCCCATAATTTGGTAGCTGGACCAATTCAACAAGGCCGTGGATGGTGGCAGAACATGGCCAGAGAAGGAATGGAGCAAAGAACAATTTGATGGCCACGCTCAAGGAGCTGCACCCCAGGGGTACCCCAGATGACCCGGCGGTGGCATTAAAGGGGTTCTGTGGCTTACAGGTGACTGGGAGGGCGTGAGTGGCGCGATGCTGCAGCTCTCGTTGTGCATTCCTGGGGAACTGGGTGGGGACGGCGTCTGAGAGCTCTCACCGTTTGTACCTGGCAAACAAACAGAATAAGGATTAGAACAGCACTGGATCTAGTCCTGAAAACCGCTAGCACCATGGCAAAGGCACCGGACCCTGCCAGTGACTCTTACATGACAACAGGCCCATTTACTGCTCTGTTTCCCCACCTGCGCTGGGGAAAACGATGGGCCTTGTAACGCACTGCACGCTGTGGCTCTCTAGCCCCTGCTAGTGCCCTGACCGCATTCAGAGTCTGTCTTCACTGCCTGGTTAGCCCAGGTGATTGGCACTGGATCTGGGCACCAGGTTAGCCTCGCCTGGGCGTGCGCATGCGCGCCTCAAAATCCGACCCATGTTACTGTGCCCTCACCGTTTCTGCGCTTGCCCGTGTGTGTCTGGGGGCGTATCCCACAATTCTTTGTGTTCAGACGCTCTAGGGGTCTTTCCCAGTCAACAGCAGAAGAACTTGTCTCTCCTTTGGGGGGAATTGTGGGAAGTCAATGGAGGACTATCAGCACTCCAGTGATTTTTGCATTTGTGCTGCAAAGTGGGCAGGTTCCAGACTGACTTAAAGCAGGACCTGGGCTCGAACCCCAATGGGACCAGTGAAATCGATTGGGAGGAAAAATTCAGACAGATGAAAACCAGGAGTCCTTTAAGAAGAGTTTACTAGATGGACCAAAAAAACACGATTCCATAATTTTGGGTAAAAGCCAATCTTGGTTAAGAGGGGAAGTGAAGACAGCAATTAGAAATAACAACAAATGGACAAAAAAGAGGACGTATATAGTAATTACTATATAAATTAAAGACTACAAAGTGTATAAAATTGATAAGGGAAGCTAAAGACAACAGGAAAGAATCCATGGCATGCAGGGCTAAGGACAATAAGAAAGGTTTTTTAAAGTATATCAGGAAAAAAAGGAATCTTAGTAATGGTACACGCCCATTACTAGATGGGAATGGTAAAACTGTTAACACTGACACAGAAGAGGCAGAGGTGTTCAATAAATATTTCCATTCTCTATTTAGCAAGAAGCAGGATGGTGCACTCGTACTTTCCAGTCCATTAGTAACTAAGGAGGATGTTAAACAGCATCTACTATGGACGAATGTTTAAAAATCAGCAGGCCCAGCTAACTTTCACCCAAGAGTCCGATAAGAGTCGGCCAAGGAGATCTCTGACCCGTTTCTGCTCATTTCTAATAAATCTTGGCATACTGGGGCAATTCCATAAGCCCGGAAGAGTGCTAATGTTGTGCCAATATTCAAAAAGGACAAGTGGGACGACTCAGGTAATTATAGGCCAGTTAGCCTGACATCAATCCCAGAAAAAATAGTGGACGGTTGATACAGGATTCAATCAATAAAAATGAAAGGATGGCACTACAATTCATGCCAGTCAAAATGGCTTTTGGGAACATAGGTCCCGTCAAACAAACATGATCTCATTTTTGGTGAGATAAGTGTTATTGATAAAGGTAACTGCTCAGATGTAATATACCTAGACTTCTGTAAGGCCTTTCTCTTAGTACAACACAACATTCTAATTAAAAAAATTAGCACTATACAACCTCAGTAAAGCACTTGTTCAAACAGATTAACCTCCTGCTTTGAGCAGGGGATTGGATTAATGTCCTGCTTTGAGCGGGGGGTTGGACTAGATGACCTCCTGAGGTCTCTTCCAACCCTAGCCTATGGTTCTATGGTCTGGCTAACTGATAGGTGTCAAAAAGTAATTAGCTAATGAGGAAGCATTATTGAATGGGGGTGTTTCTTGTAGGGTTCCACGTAGATTGGTGCTAGGCCCAATGCTGTTCAACATTTTTATCGATGACCTGGAAGTGAATAGAAAGTCACTGCTGATCAAATTTGCAAAGATCAGAGGAGTGGTAATTAACGCTGAGGACAGGGCAGACGTACAAAGCGATCTGGGTCATTTGGTAACCTAGGCTCGTTCAAACAAAATGTGTTAGCGAAATGCAAGGTCATACATCTAGAAATAAAGGATGCAGGCCACCCCTCCAACATGGGGGACTGTATTCTGGACAGCAGCGACTCTGAGAGGGAGTACGGGTCAGAGTGGGCAAACAACTCAATGTGAGCTTCCAGTGGAATATTGCATCCCAAAGGGCGAATGCGATCCTTGCATGGATACACAGGAGAGTAGGCAGTAGGAGCAGGGAGGTGATTTTACCTCCGCATATGGCATTGTGGAGACTGATACTGGAATACTGCATCCAGCTCCGGTGTCCACATTTGGAAAAGGGGTGTTGAAAGTTGCAGAAGGTGCAGAAAAGAGACAGAAAAACGATGCAAGGGCTGACAAAAATGCCGTAGAGTGAGTGACTTCAATTGATCAACCTGCTTAGCTCATAAAAGATTGAGAGGTGACTTGATTATAGTCTCTAAGGACGTTCTTTGGGGAGAAAATACCAGGTGAAGGGCTCTTGACTGTAGCGGAGGAAGGCAGAACAAGAACACGGGCACAGTTTTTTAACAGTGCGGGTGATTAACCATTGGGACAAACATGGGTGGTATATAAAACCCCCTAGCTAGCCCCTGCCCCTTCCGCCTGAGGCCCCACCCCTACCCTGCCCCTTCTGCCCCCTGTCCCCACCGGAGCCCTGAGCTCCCGATTGTGGATGGAAGACCCCTACCCCAGCCACCCCAAGTCCTGGCCTGCTGGCTACCGGCCCACCCCAGCTACTCTGACCAGCCCGAGCCTCAGGCTGCCGACCCACCGGCCCGAACCCCAGCCCCAGTCCCCACTGGCTTTGGGGGAGAGGCTGAGTGAGGGCGGGAAGAGGAGCAGTGTGGGCAGGGCCCTGAGGGAAGAGTGGGATGCAGAAGTGGGGCCTCAAGGCGGAGTGTGGACGAGGCCACGCCTGGCTGTGTGGGAAGGCTTAGCTGCCCCTGGCCTACAATTCCCACCGCCTAGGGTGACCAGATGTTTATAGGGACAGTCCTGATTTTGGAGACCTTTTCTTATATAGGCTCCTATTACCCCCCAACCCCTGTCCCAATTTTTCACACTTGCTGTCTGGTCACCCTACCGTGCCCCTGGGAACAAACCACTAAGGGAAGTGGTGGGTTCTCCATCTTTTGGAGTCTTCAGATCCAGACTGAATGTCTTTCTGGAAGAAGCTTTAGTTCTTAGTCTCAATGCAGGGTATCTGGGGGAACCCCTCTGGCCCGTGCGATACAGATGGTCAGATCAGATGATCTAATGGCGTCTTCTGGTCTTAAAATCTGTGACAGTAAAACCGTGATTTTAAGAGCACCCGTCCGACGAACGACCAGTTCGACGAGTCACGTTTCCAGACGGAAAGAAAAAACCACGCAACAAAAGTGACGTCGCTGCAGGACAAGCTGACACCCCTTCGCATTCCGATGCCGTCGGTGCATTGAAATGGCTTGGCAGGGGGTTGAGGGCCAAGAAGAAAGCGATGTGGTGTGCCATATGGCAGCGTATGACTCGGCCCACTGTGATCTGAGATGTTCGGCTTTATGAGCTGCCGATGTTGTGAATTCCTCAAGCCCCAACGGGTTTGTAAAATAGGAGCTCTGTTGTGATTCAAATCGATGCAAACCCCCTCTCCTCCCCCCCTCACACCCAAAACTTGGAAATATTTGGATCCCGATGGAGATTTGGCAGATTGAAGCCATCTCTGGTTATTATTACCCCCTGTTTTCATGCTCTAAGGTATCGAGCTCACCAGCTACCCGTTAGTAGCTAACGTTTGTCTCCAGCAACGCAGGAGTTGATGCTTAAAGAAAGAATAACGACTGGTCCCTGCAGAACTGGCTGGTCTGTTTGTCCACCATCAACTCCAAGCCACCCGTCTCAGCACGGAGTCCGCACAGATGGACTATGCCAGCCCTAAGGGGTTTTGCTGCCATTTCTGCCCTCTGCCCCTCAGCCCATCCCTTGTGCATTCTGATCCCCCACTAGGCAGAGGGAGGCGATGGGATACGGCCGACCCCCAGCACGGCGAGATCCAGGGATGGCGGGAGCCCCAGTAAGCGCTGTATGCTGGAACCTGGCCCTCGCCCCTGCAGAGTGACCAGCCACGCTCCGCTCCCGCCTGCCCCGCCGCACTGCTCCGGGCGCATGGTTCCAATTAGGAGCGAGAGTTAATCACCCTGCCTGGGAGAGCACTTGCTGACTGACAGTCTCCAGCTGTTGGCCCGGGGAGACCAGGGGAGGGGGCGGGGCGGGGCTGGCTTTCACTTCGCCACTTGGCAGCCGCCCCTGCCAACGGGGTCCGGGGCTGCACTCAGCAAAGAGCCGTAACTGCCCCAGGCTTTGTCTGGCCACGGGCCTGGGCGGCAGAGTTCACGACTGGATCCAGACTCAGCAGCGGTTGGGCTGGAGAAAGGCAGCCGCAGAGTGTGGAGCCGAACGGCTATAAAACGGGGCGGTTGGCACCCTGGGTATCAGTGTCTACAACCCTGAAGTGTGATTGCAAATCGCAGCCCGAAGATGGGCCCCGGTCTGATTCCCACTCTGCAAGGTGAAGAGTATCCCATCCAACGGCTCTCCTGATCCAGGTAGGCTGCGAGTGTTTGTATCTCTGGTTCTGCCCCGTTGCTGGCTGGCTCCACCTAGGGTTGCCAACTTTCCAATCACACAAAACCGAACATCCCTGCCCCGTCCCTTCTCTGAGGCCCCGCCCCTTCTCCAAGGCCCCGCCTCCTTCTTGCTCCATCCCCCCTCCCTCCATCGCTCACTCTTCCCCACCCTCACTCACTTTCACCGGGCTGGGGCAGAAAGTTGAGGTGCGGGAGGGGGTGAGGGCTCTGGGCTGGGGGTGCAGGCCCCCTCTGCACCACTGACTGGACTTTTAACAGCCCGGTCAGCAGTGCCGACCAGAGCTACCAGGGTCCCTTTTCAACTGGGCAGTCTGGTCGAAAACCGGACACCTGGCAACCCTCGCTCCGCCTAGCGACAGGGAGATTGTCAAAGTTCTGCAGCCCACGCCGTATACAAAACAAGACCAACATCCGGATGTGTTAGGGTTGCCAGAC